TATATATATATATATATATATATAAAAAATAATTTAACATACAAATAACATTATTAATATAATTTAAATATTATTTATAATTATAATTAATTATAATTTTAATTATCTAATTAAATTAAAATACTAAAAACAGCATCACGACATAAAGTGAAATGTTTCTTTTGCTTCCTCAACTGACATTTCTGAAATCACAAAATTAATTAAGGCAATTAATATACCCACATTGACAGTCTCCAAGTTTTTAGTTAATAATCTATTTAAATGTAATATATACTTGAAGCCCACCTACATAGTATAATATTAACAGAACTAGATTACACTGTGTAGGAGGGCTTCAAGTCAAAAAGGCTGAGAACCTAGGCATTATGGAAATTTAATTTTGGTGAGAAACTGTGTTTAATTTAATAATTAATAGTTCAATTTAATGTCACAATCAAAAAACAAATCTTGGCTTTTGGGGTGAAAAGTGATCTACACCTTATCTCTGTGTACATACAGTAGCTGTGTTATTATGAAAGGACATATGAAGAGATTTTTTCACATGACGTGTCGGTGCTGGTTAAAATGGCTCTGTTTGAGTGCCTGCCTGCCTACCATCCAATCCAAAGAATTTCTCAGCAACTAAGCGAAGCCTGTCAGGGTGAGCTCACGATTGCGTTGTGACAAAGCGCCGGCATCCCCTTTCACCACCAACATGAGCCAACGTGTGACACAAGCTCTCGCCGGTTCACGCAAGTTATTTTTAATGCACTATTCCGCAGTCCCTTCGCTGAAGGCCCTTGAGCAAAAGCTGCCAATGTGGCAAAACTACTCACAATGACAAAGGACAAGAACTCCCTTGAGAGTTCCCTCTGAGGTGTCTGAGACAGGAAATAACCGTGACGCAACGTCATGTACAGGAAGACTACCCATGGCGACAGATGCAAACACGCACACATTCTCCATTAATATTCATTACGATAGTTAGACTAGTTTCTACAGCATTCGCTCCATCAGAATCAACCAGGCCTTGAACTGCAAGCACAGTCAGCAAGAAAGTCTCACGTCACTCCGCCTAAATATATCACATATCACGTCATATTTTCCCATACTACTGCAAATTACTCTCTCCTTCAGAAACATGCTCATAGCATTCAATGGTGGGGGGCGGGGAAATCAATACATACGCTGTGCACTTTGCATTCAGCACAGAAATAAACCCACGCGCTTCGAGGCCTACAACAGTCAGCGAAAGCTCCCAGCCGAATGGATGCTGATTCATCAATAGATTGCCAACGCAAAAGGTCATCCCATTTCCCATAATGGCATTTCCTGCTCAAAAACAGACGGCGGGCCTAAGAGGAACCTGCAAGAACCAGCTCAGCAAGATCATAAGGATTAGAAGGATTCTAAAGAAAAAGGGCACTGTACTCACCAGAGTTGCAGAAAGTTGTGGATCTCAGGACATAAATGAAGAGATTGGCCAGACGAAGAGGGAAAGAGAGCGCAGCTGTGTCGCTGTGCGGATCAGTTCATCAGCCTTTAGACTTCTTTCCAGGTTGATAACCGGCCCATTCTGCAGGCAGAAGGGCAAATCAAAACCACACACTGTGTCGTCATGTCAGTTTAAGGCACGTTCGTCAGTCATGCGAGGCTGCCATACGTTACACCTTCTCCGCATCAGGGTCTCTGTGTAGCGAAAGGGGGTTTGCCTTAAGAGCACGGGTGAAATCACACAAGCCATATGTGCGCTGATTTACTTATCTCACGGTTAACTGAATCCTTCATCAGGAACATCTCGTATAAAAAATTTAAAAAAAAGAGGCCAAAAGCTTCGGCTTCTAGTTAAGTGTCTGACATTTCTGTGAATACACCATGTGTGGGAGGTTTCAACCAAAAAAAGGTGTTTTGAAATTCATCAAATGTGTCACTGACCAGAGAGGGATCCCAGAAGTCTCTTGGGTTTTCTCTTCCAGGTCATGTGACCACGTGCTGCCACACTTCCAGAAGACTCGGGAGAGTTCCGTCTGTCCAGTGTACCTCACCCTTTTAAAGAGATGTAAAGGTATGAGAAAACATTCAAAGATGTTCAGATTTCATTACAATTTAATGAAATCGATGCATTACCTGAGCAACTCCTTACTGTTTCTCTGTACAGGAGGTTTACTTTTAAATTTGTATTTAAAGGTTCTGCTCTTTCAGACCAAGATTCTGAAAAAAAGACAAAATTGCATATTATTTCAAGTCTCAACTAAATGTTGGACTTCAGTTCCATTCAATGGTGTCTTTAAAATACAAATTTGTCATTTTTGCTATGTAGTAAATGTTAACATTTCCAACACATTTGTCTTAATACAATACAAATATTTATGGTAAAATAGTATTTAAAAATCATATTATCATCTCACAACATCACAGTTATGAATTGTATATTAGTTTGAGCAGATATGTTTGTTATTTTTGCCATGTCCATTATTCAGGCAATTTATTTAGAAATATTTCAGGTGTATTTCAGACTTTATTTTCTACTAGAAATATTTTAAACCAAACATGCAGGAATGGGTAATTATACATAAAGCATATACTGTAGTTATATATAAAAATATTATGTATAAAATTTAATACAAACAAAACGTTTTTTTTTATTATTATTATAATGATTAAATGAATGTATAATACTATATATGCTTTATATAATTATTTTAGTATTATTTGAGTTTAGACAATACCCATAAATTAGAGTAGCTCAAAAGGTAATAGACAACAGGAATGATCTGTATTGTTCCAGATTCTCATCCCAAACATACAACATTGCATAAAATGAGCTTGCAAAAAAGTTTAGATCTCTCTAATATATTTCTTTGAAACAGGGACCATCTCTTACGTCTGTGACTGCACTGCCAAATCCAGTCTTCAGCTCCCAGTAACCAGAAATTCCTTCAAAAAGACAAGGGGACATTTATCAGCATAAGTAAATGAACGTCTGTCTGTGTGAAAAGTGCTCCCTCTAATGGTCATGTTTTGCATTGTTTGACAAGACTGTGATGAATGTGTTCTCTGGCTCTGTGTGACATAGTAGTGTTTATCAAATACATGACATCTATTATAAAACTGAAAGTTCAGACTTAATTTTGATCGGATGAGCTGCCTTCAAAACTGCTGTAAAATGCCAATAAATGCACGTTCTTTATTAATTCAGCAAATTGCTACATTAATAATAGTTTCTGTCTACTAGGATCAGACAATAATATAACTAGTGAGATATACATTCGGCATGACAAGCCACGCTACATCTAAAAAAAAACTGAACCTTGACCCGTCTCAGTGCACTAAAACACTTAGGAAAGACTGCCATCTACTGGCAAACTCAACTACTGACACCTACTGTCAATCATTTTCCAGTTTGATGACCATTCTGGAAAAAAAAGAAGACATGAGGACGTCTCCACATGTAATGTATTGGCAGAAGAAAAACCTGTTAAATATTTGCCCAGTCTGGATTCAGCTGCTCTGAAAACCAATTTAGCCAATTTATTTAGGGGCTTCAAGCGGATGCAGATAAAACACTTCGGTCCTCAGCCTGTGAGCGTTTGTGCAAACCAGAAGTTAATCAGTTCCTCTAAAGGCGCTTACAATCTGATCTCCTGTTTGACATGGAGCCACTTCTGAGGGTCCCCGAGATGAAATTCTATAATGATGTAGACTGAAATTCAGCACAAGGGCTCGACACACAAATCACACTGTATTAATGTTTAATGATCTCTAAAAGCTTATATTCCTTTTTCGCTTTCTCAGGGTCCCACGTCCTGGCATTTACAGATTATCACCTGACCTCTAACTCAAGGACTGTCCCAGCGCGATGGCGAACACACATCAGTGAGATTAAAGATCTCTGTTGTGATGGCGGTTACAGTGCTCAAAAGATCCATAAAACACATAAGTTATCTCCTTACGACACACAGCCCAGAGAGCCAACCATACTCACGCTAGGCACGTGCACCTCACCATCATCCAAGAGCATTTAACAAAGCCTTTGGACTCTTTTATTAAATATTACGCTCAGTGAGTGAAGCATGAACGATATCGCATATGGCGTACGTGTGTTTACAGTTGCTTTTCCTACCGGCAATATTTCCTATGAACGGTCTTTATAATATATTTACAATTTCTCCAATACTGTAGCAGTCACTCAAATATTTTTTTCTAGCATAAATGAAATATTAATAAGATCTAAACTATTTATATTGTGAGCATTAATAATGAATCGCAGCACTTTCAACATTGTGCTTCAAAACGTAATATCAAGCTTGAGAGGAAAGCAGATATTTTTCCATTTTCATTTAGCCGGGGGGTTATAAATTAAGAGGGTCCGTGCTTTGCTAAATATTGTAAAAGCACCTAATGCATTAATCAAATGAGTAAATCTTTGTGGGTGCTCGGAAGCCAATAAAGCCAGAGCAGCACAAAACAGCGCTATTGAAATGTGTTTAAGCATTTCATTACTTTCATTTACTAATAAATAAATGAATCAACTTGGAGACACTTCAGTGGCTGTAAAATTTTTGAATCGAATGACATTTTCATGGAGACGTTAAAAGGGGAAAGATCTCCACAGGGCTTTTAGAGAAAGTGCAGACTCTTAACTCCGTCATGGAAAAAGTCAGCTCACTTCTGCCGGTGTGCAATTTCATTAACGCTTACATGCAGGCAGTCATTGATTTGCAAAGGAATCTCTCTGAAATGCAGGTCTAATCAATCAAACGTCTCTTTTTTTATGGGTGGGCCCAAGGAGGTTTATAATACCTGGAGAAAGCTATCCATTAGCTTTCCCATTCATCTCAGTGACAGATGTTTGGCTGGTGAAAGACCCCCTGGAAGTATCCAACAATTGGCCATCAATGGAAAAATATACAGCATCTACCAATATAATAACTTTTTTAATTATGTGTGATTGCACGGTTAGTTGGGTATTATTATTTGCATTGTTTTTCACCACCAGTTGAGAAGGACTAGACTAGAATTTGTTTATGAAATTTTTATATTTTGTACAATTCAACTTGTACAAATATTATAAATTTTAAAATATAACATTAATTATTATGATTTTTTTTCCCAAATAGAGCAGATTTTTTTTTTCATATCGCAATATATATCGCAGGAAAAAAATATCGCAATGTGAGTTTTTTCCAATATCGTTCAGCTCTACATCAAGTGTATATTCTCCCAGAAATATTAAAATCGTTGCTAAGTGTATGTCAGCGTGCAATAAAGAAAACACTGATGAAAGCGTTTTTTTGACCAGCAATGAAAATAATGCGGGCGTGATGTGTGAGAGAGTTCTGTGGTTTGCTTTCTCATGACAAGGTGCTTTGAAAGTCGGTTTGAAAAGTTAAGCAAGGTTTAAAAGCGAGCTGCAGTTTCAGCAGCCCGAGCACAGCGAATGGAGCCGACCAAGTGCGGAGGGATTACACAGGAACAAAACAAGTCAAGAAGCAGTAAGCATAATGTTAGGAGAACTGCTTATGTGCAGAAACAGTCTGACAGGGCTGTGAGAGTCTGTCACTTACACACAAACACCCAGCAAAGGAGCTTATCGAGGAACCTTTAAAAGCATTTCATCAACACCAGCTTGTACGACTTTGCCACCTCTTTTCATTCTCTGCGATACAAACCTGTTCAAAATGCAGATATTATTGCATAATCATGCCTCGAGTCACAAATCTAGAATACAATATCGCTACAGTTCACACAAATGACTTTCAAGGTATTAAAACTGTAAGAGATCAGTAAACAAGAGACTTATTGTGTGGGTAAATGAAAAATAAAGGCACCTAAAAATGCATTCATGCTGGTTTCACTTATGAAGCACTGATAACAAATTCAATTCTGTTTTTTAATCTAATAACTTTAAATATGCCAAGTGATGTAACATTCACGAAAAAAGTACAAAACTGGCGTGTAAGAGCTGGGCAATAATATAATTTACATTTTGCAATGATATAAACAATCAAGCTGGTGAGATTTGCTTTATAGTATATATATCGCCCTACCCGAGTATACTTGCGACTTAACTTGTAATGTTTAAATCGATGTACATGCCAGCTACATATTTTTAAATTCTCTTAAACAGCCATTTACTACTGAATTATAAGCATTATTCTGAATTGTATCATATCAGACAATGTACAGTCTGTCAGTAATCTAGAGCAACCTTATTATTGTTGAAAAACGTAATTGATTATATAAATAATTAAATATTTGACACAAACATGGTGGTACATGCCAATAAATTTGCACAGGGCTTCATCGTTCAGCCATAATTTGTTCAGAAGAACAAATAGAAACATGAAATTAATTAGGAAACGGTCTCGACAAATTACCAAATCTCTAAAGGCATCAAAACTAAGGTGTGAATGTATTCTTCAGAGATTTACAAGTGTGACAGCCTAATCTAAACCTAAAGAAAAATGAAGTGAGGACTTCAGTGCTACAAGAATACCTACTGAAACCATTAATTCCTGAAACAATATCTTTATTTGTTGTTAATACACACTACCATTCAAAAATTTGGGGTCAGGTTTTTTTTTTTTAAATATTAATAGTTTTATTCAGAAAAGACACATTAAATCAATTAAAAGTGTCAGTTCAAATAAGCTGTTATTTTAAACTTTTTGTTGATAGAATCCTGAAAAATGAATTGCAGTTTCCACAAAAAATTAAGCAGGTTTTCTACAATGATATTAATTAGAAATGTTTCTTGAGCAGCAATTCATTATATTAGAAAGATTCATTTTGAAGCATCATATGACACTAAAAACTGGAGTGATGGCTGCTTTGTTTTAATATAATAAGAATAAATAAAACTTTAACACATATTAAAGTACAAAACAGTTATTTTAAATTGTAATACTATTTCACAATATTACTGTTTTTACTATATTTAAAAAAAAAAATACAAGCTTTGGTGAGCATAAGAGACTTCTTTCAAAAGCATAAAAAAAAAACTCTTCAATAGTAGTGTAAATACTAAAACACATTTAACAAATTAATGGATATTTCAGTGTGCAAAGTCAGAAAATAATGTAACCGAGTTAAAAGGATTCATTTAATATTAAAATGGCCAGAATCACACTCACAGCCACACAAATGGACTCTTTCCTCACCCCTCTCAATGTGCTTTGCTCTACATGCAAGTAAGATAAAAGGCTTGTGCACCAGTTTTCAATAGCTGTATCAGCTATCCGGACACACGCGTATTACCCAGACGAGTCATTATACTTATATTCCCTTGGCATTAATTGAGAGCTAATGGCATTTCATAGATATCCTTTAATTGACCCCTTTTGCGCTGAGCGGCTTTTGTATATTGCGGTTTGTGCTGAGCCTCAGACAAGATTCAGTCCCCCAGAAGCCCCTATTCTACCTGGGTATCTATGCCTGAGGGAGACAGTTGTCCCATAATACCCTTCACAGTGTGTGCGTTCTTAACATATGGGTGGGGTTCTTCTGAAGTCGCTCGCACAATCTGTGAAAGGGCAAAGCTAAGGACTCAGGCCAAGAGCCTATAAAATACTGCTGTATAACACAGAGGATGAAGGAAGTAGGGCTGTCAAAATTACTGCAAAACTAAATTCGAATTTTCTACTTAAACAGTATGTATGTTTTTCTCGAAGTCTAACAGTATTATTAAAGAGCCGGATGTCTATGTGTCAGGGGTGAGGCTGCAGGTAGTGCCTCAATATAAATCTGGGAATACTGATTGATTCTAAACTTACATTTAAAGCTCAAGTTAAAAAGGTGTGTAAGCAGGTTAAATTTAATCTCTATCATTTTAAGTTTATTAGAGATTATATGTCATTAGAGGCAGCTAAGATGTATATGTATTATATGGTTATTTCTCACATGACTTACTGTTTAACCACCTGGTCTCAGGCGAG